CTCTTCCCACAGCATCCCTTTTACTCTCTTGCTGAAGAAACTATTGCTCCCAACTATCAAGCCCATCAAGTCAAAACCCCTCTGTCCTGGTTTCAAGACCCCTCAAAGTGCCCCTCCCCACCTGACCAAAGCTATTTCCCACCACTTCCCACCACACCCCTGTACTTTACTGGGTCTAGTGAGCTCCAGGAGCCACAGAACCTGACCAGCATTCAGCAACCAAATCAGAATGAACAGCTGGCTTTTCCCTACCTTGCAGGATCCTCTTGCAGGAAGAATGCAAGAGACAGTTAAAGTGCTTGGCCAGTACGCTAAAAACGGGAGCTATCATAACCTGAGGCTAGAGGCAGTTTCTCAAAGCAAATGGCAGCTGTGGGGTCTAAGGGATGCCAGTTCGAATCACAGCTCCACCATTTTACTGGTGGGTGGCTTTGGACAAGATAATTCACCTAAGGCCCACTTTTCACAAATGTAAGGCAGAGATAACAAAAGAAGCTACTCTCCACGCCTACTGAATATATTCAATCAGATAGTAAATACGGTATGCCCATCACAATGCCTAGTCAAGAGTGAAAACTCAAACAATGGCCTTTATGCTGATTATCAGCATCCTCACTGGGGGATCCCAGCCCAAACACAGAGAGACTAGCTTGCTTCTCGGCCGTGATGACTACGGCTTATCAATTACCATGTCCTTAGTTTATTGTATGTCATTGTGTCTCCAGAGACCCCTTAAATCTGTCACCCCATTACTTGGCCCCATTCTTAGCCGATAATCCTTTTCTTGGTAATCACACCAAGCTTTATGGTCATCACTGTGGGGGGCGAGGCCAGTGCATATAGTTCACATTGTGTACTGCACAAAGATACCATCAGAGGAGGGGAATGGGAGGATGGAGGTGAAATCCAGCCAGGACTTTGACTGGCTCCTCCCCAAAGGAGGGGCCTTTCTAATTTGCACAAAGATGCATATGATCTAGCCCTGACCTTGTGTTTAGGGAGGAGAGAGGTTCTTTATCCTCATATTAATAGTTTTTGCAATTCCCCGTCTGTTTGTTTGGGTCCTCACCACCGTATTCCTTTTCATTGCCAGGTGATGATGTCACTGTCAACACTCACACGTTCCAGTGAATTAGAACATTCGCTTTTAATCTCCATCCTCCCATTCCACCCCACCTCTCTGGTGTTTTACACCCACATCCATCTGGTTTCCTGCTTCTCATATGCCATGATCTTGGGCAGCATTTCTCAAACCATTTTGACGTCAACCCATGGTAAACAAATACATTTTGTACCCACACACACATATATATATAAATAGCCTAAACAAAGTAGTCACAAATCTCAGCTACCTTTACTATTTATAATGCACCCTGATGTGTTGTTCTATTTCAATTTTTAAAAATATTTACCTTGGTCCACTAAGTTGATTTCACTTCCTTAGTAAGTCTTGACCAGCATTTTGAAAACAAATAAAACGTGGTTCTCAAACCAGCAGCATCAGCATTACCTTCTGCAGAGTTTATTAGATTCTGCAGAGTTTATTAGAAATCTCCAGAATCGGCCGGGCGCGGTGGCTCAAGCCTGTAATCCTAGCACTTTGGGAGGCCGAGATGGGCGGATCACGAGGTCAGGAGATCGAGACCATCCTGGCCTGACACGGTGAAACCCCGTCTCTACTGAAAAATACAAAAAGTAGCCGGGCGAGATGGCGGGCGCCTGTAGTCCCAGCTACTCGGGAGGCTGAGGCAGGAGAATAGCGGGAACCCGGGAGGCGGAGCTTGCAGTGAGCTGAGATCCGGCCACTGCACTCCAGCCTGGGCAACAGAGCGAGACTCGGTCTCAAAAAAAATAATAATAATAAAAATAAAAAAAAAAATAAAAAGAAATCTCCAGAATCTCAGTCCCCATCCCAGACCTACTGCTGAACCAGAATCTGCATTTCAACATGGTTCCCAGGAGATTCATGTGCACATTAAAATCTGAGAAGCCCTGGTCTGGAATACCAGGAAGCCACAGTTGTTAACGCTGATCTATTAAATGAAGTGCCCAGGAACTCTCTCACACGTGAAGGATGTGAACTTGAGCATGGGCACCCAAAATCTGTTCAAGCTTCCCAAAGGCCCATTTCTCCTGCTTTACACTTCCAGGGAGTCACAGAGAGGTATTATCCCTCTCCCTGTGATTCTGAATATAGGACATGGCACTCTACGTCTCTTCCCGTGGCTTATTTACAGTTAGGAGCTTTGAAAGTCAATTTCAAAACACAAAGAAGTCTCATTTCCTCTGCATCCAAAGCGAGAAGTTCACAGACCTTTTCTCTGGGGAATAAGCTCCAGGGAAAAGAAGAGATGCAGGACCGAGAAGTAAGAGTCCTGGGTTGGAGGCCTAGTCTGGCCGTTAGCATCACAGATGACCCTTGCCCTCCCCGAGTCTCAGTTTCTCTGTCATTGAATGAGGCCATGGTGGTGACCATCTCTGAACTGCCTCCTCTCAAAATTCTCCCAAGTTGTCCCTTGAGGATACATCAACTCCTCCCAGACTCACTCCTCTGTGACATCAGCCCAGTTCTGAAAGTGGTCCTAGAGTCTGCACTGCCAGCTGTCCCTGCCCTGCAGCTGCATCCCCCCATAGCTCCTGACTCACTCTGGCCTTGGGCAGACCCTCATGGCCGTGGACCAGGGATGGGGAGGTGAGAATCCTCTTTTGTTCCCCATTTCCATACAGGGAAGCATAGTTGTGAATCTCCATGAGTCCCACTCCTCCATCCCAGTAGACCTCATGTCCCTTGCCACAACCCTGGACATCACAGTTGTCCTCAGAGTGGACTTTCCACTGCTTTACTACACATCTTTGTCAGGAAAATCAACACCAAAACAGTGAGCTCTGCAGGCAAATAACTTCCGTGTTCCTCTTAGCGTCAACTCACAAGGCTAAACAAGATGTGTTTTGTTTGTTCACTTCCTGCTGAGGCAAATCAGTCCTGATTGCTAAAAGGGAGGCTGGAGGTAGGGGAGGGAATGGGGTGGGTGATGGGGTATAAACAAGGGAGATGGACAGAGATGGAAATCCAGCTTCCAGAAATTTGGGAAACTGGGCTGAGATCACCCCCAACAAGGCTGAAAAGTCGAACCCTCATTTTGTGTCAGCAGTTGGCTTGTTTGGGATGTTGTTGACAGGAAAATGAGTCATTTGGCATCCCCTATCTTTTAAAACTGTCAGATATTTACTAAGGGCCAGAACTATATTGTCTGAATATTTGCAGATGTTCCAATAAATATGAGTCATGGAATCTAAGATGACAGGTATAGAAGACGCTGCTGGGGCCCTGCCCATAGGCACTGCCTCTCACCTCCGCACTCTGAAGGCTGCCAAATGCCCCATCTGACTGCCTTGGGTTCTTTCTGGCTGTGGGAAGCCCTTAGCCAGTGTACAGGGTAACTTGGAAATGCTGGAGAGCCAATATCCCTGGAAACAGCATTCGTCCTGTCATGGAAGGGAAGTGAGTGGATAACCCCCTTACCCATTGGTTGGAATAACTTAGGATTCACTGTCCCCAGAGACCCCATGGTGCTAACTGGCCCAAAAGAACACCTCTGGGATTTCTTTCTCTTATTTGTCTTTCCTCCCCACTCCTCACCAGTATTTTAGGATTTGCTCCTGGGGAAATCTAACCCAAGGCAACAGAACTGGTAGCTCAGGAGTTCTAATCTAGGAGAAAATAGGCCACGATGACCTGCACCCTGAGTTATGCAACCAGAGAATAGGCTGCCTCAAGAGGGGATGAAATGCCTGTCCCTAGAAGTGTGCAGGAATATCTGGTGACCATCTCAGAAGGGCCCACAGAAGTGACCCTGCATTGTTTGGAGGTCCTGGTGTTCTTGACAGAGATCCCGAGTCATTCATGCATTCATTCATTCAGTAGATATTTAGTGAGCTTCTGAACTTAAGAAGTTTGGTCTTAGGAAAATAGGATTTCCCAGGGCTCAGAGAAGAGTTGTGGGTCTTGTGCTTGAGCTTCACTATTAGAAAGTATTTCTTAGAAGTTGTGTTAAAATTTCTAACCTTGGCCGGGCACAGTGGCCCACACCTGTAATCCCAGCACATTGGGAGACCAAGGCAGGTGGATCATGAGGTAAGGAGTTTGAGACCAGCCTGGCAAATATGGTGAAACCCCATCTCTACTAAAAAATACAAAAATTAGCCAGGCGTGGTGGCGCACACCTGTAGTTCCAGCTACTTGAGAGGCCGAGGCAGGAAAATAGCTTGAACCAGGAAGGCGGAGGTTGCAGTGAGCTGAGGTCATGTCACTGCACTCCAGCCTGGGTGACAGAGCAACACTCCATCACAAAGGAAAAGCTAAAGAAAACTCAGCAAAGAAGCAGCAAAGAGAGGGAAGGTAATTTAATTTTGGCACCTGACCAAAATTAAATTTTTAATTGACAAATTATAAATAATAATTGTATATATTTATGCGGTACAAAGTTATGTTATGAGATATATATAAAATCTTGGCCAGGCACAGTGGCTCGTGCCTATAATCCCAGCACTTCGGGAAGCCGAGATGGGAGGATTGCTTGAGCGCAGGAGTTTGAGAACAACCTGGGCAACATAGACAGACCCTGTCTCTTATTTAAAAAAAAAAAAAAAATTTAATTTTAAGGGCCAGGTATAGTGGTTCACGCCCCGTAATCCCAGCACTTTGAGAGGCAGAGGTGAGAGGATAGCTTGAGCCCAAGAGTTCAACACCAACCTTGGCAACATAGTGAGATTTCCATTTCTACTAAAAATTTTAACATTAGTCAGTGTGCCTGTAGTCCCAGCTACTGGGGAGGCTGAGGTGGGAGGATTACTTCAGCCCAGGAGCTCGAAGTTGATGCTGCAATGAGCTGTGATTACACCACTGCACTCTAGCCTAAGCAACAGAGCAAGACCCTGGATCTAAAACAAAATAAAAATTTACCTTTAAAAACTCAGCTTTTCTCCTCCCCTCTACTTACGGAGTCTTCCCGGCAGCTTGCAGATCCCCCTTTCACCCAGCAGGTTAATTTGAGCTTCACTTCTGGCTTGCACGTGGGTGCCTAGGGGAGGCATGGCTGCCACAGGGCTTATAGGAGAACCAGCCAATTCTCCCTCCTAGAGAGAGAGAAACCAGGACAGAAGAAGAACGTCTTGGTGAAGGCTCAGCCATCTTTAAATGTCTTAAGAATTTTTTTGGAAGGGAAAGAGTGTTTATCTCTCCCAATAGACTGCATCAACCTTAAAGGTAGGAACCATGTATATCTTCAACCCAGTACCATCAACATCTTGTACCCAGTGGGCACAATAAATGACATCCTTCCAATTCAAGCTTTCCATGCATGTGCCTAACTCCAAGAGGGATCCCCTGTCAAGACTTGTATGATTGAAATCTGAGAGCCTAGGAATACTCACTGGATCCTTGGTGCGGACAACACAGGAAACCTGAGAGGCCAGTATCAAAAGACCTTAAATCAGAAATAAACAAACAGGCCAGGTGCGGTGGCTCACACCTATAATCTCAACACTTTGGGAGTCTGAGGCGGGTGGATTACTTGATGTCAGGAGTTTGAGACCAGCCTGACTAACATGTGAAACACCGTCTTTACGAAAAAATACAAAAATTAGCCAGGTGGTGATGGGCGCCTGTAATCCCAGCTACTCAGGAGGCTGAGGCGGGAGAATCACTTGAACCCGGGAAGCGGAAATTGGAGTGAGCCAAGATTGCGCCACTGCACTCCAGCCTGGGCAAGAGAGCAAGACTCCGTCTCAGAACAAACACACACCATTTTCAAAAGAGAAAGAAGGATAAATTTCTGAATCCTAAGGTCTCACCACGGGAAGCCTGTATCTTTACAATTCAACAATCAGCCTGGCCCCCAGAGATGACGGGGGTTCATCCATCCAGATGAGAAAATGAAGAAAGTGGCAGGATTTTGTAGGAATAGGAGGCTCCTTGGGGCTCATGCCCAGCCACAGGCTGCCACAGCACGGAAAGGAAAAGTGAAACCAATTCCATCAAGTCATTTTTCACTCTAGGATTGTCAAAAGCTTTACATTCATCTCTTGGGATCCCAGGAGAGCGATCTGCTGAGAAAGAATTTGGATCGGAGCCAGCAGAACTCCAGAAGCCTTGGCTGCTGTGCAAGGGGATTCAACACCTTCCAGGGTCGTTCTCACTTCATTTCCAGCCAGACTCCCTTTGGTGCTGTTTCCCAAGTAATCAGACCTCAGGGGCTGCCTCCTAATGGGGAAAGGAAAGCTTACCTTGCTGGAGAAGGGGCGCAAGTCACAGGACTTGCCTAGGACTTGCCTAGGACTTGCAGGAGGCTCTTCGTCTACTCCTCTATCCCCATCCAAGTAAGAGGAGCGGGGAATTCCGGGGCTGTAACTGCGTGGGAAATGCCAGCCATGGAGCTGCTGAGGATCAGACTCCTGGGTTTCAGCATGGAGGCCAGGGAAGGGTCTGATAAACGGGTATGGGTCTTGGCGAGAAGCGAGTGGAGAACGGCCTTGGAGTGGGACGGGGCCCCAGCTCTGTGGGGGCAGTTCCGAAGCTCCCAGGAAACCGGCGAGTGGGGAGGGGCTGCTAAAGAGGGGCTCCCTGCGAGAGAATGCGTTCACCAGCTGTGAGGACCCGGCTTGCGCAGGAACTTCCAAGGACCTCACATTTGGTTGGTGTAGGGACGACCAGTGGTAAGGGGGCTGCAGAAAGGGCCTGCAGGGGCTGTGCGTGATGCCTTCAGAGCTGTGTATGACACTGAGTCAGGGGCGGTGACCTGCGTCTGGAGGTGGAAGGGGAGGTGAGTGGGATGGGTGTGAGGTTTAGGAATGTGTTGGAAAGAGAGATTCCCGCCAGGTTAAAAGGTCTGATAAAATAGGTTTGGAAATCTGGATAGTGGGGAAAGGATAAGGGAGCAGGTGGCTCCGCGTGCGCGCTGCGTGTTCAGCCGCCAGGCTCTTACCTGCATTACAGGTGGAGGTGAGGAAGCCACTGGCTTTCTGTCGTGAGCGCTTCCCCGGCTGTGGCTGCTGGGGCCCTAGGCCCGCGCTCCTAGTCCTCCTCCCCCAAACCCCTAACCTGGCTCCGAGAACTGGAAGGTCGCGTGGGAGGAAATGTCTTTCGAGAAGCGCCAAGGCGTGTGCGCCCGGGTCCCCCGCAGGCGGGCAGGGGCGCCAGGCGCTCCGGTAATCGCTATCCTTCCGGGAAACGAAAACGAAAGAGCGGGATGCGGTTCCACTCGCGCCGCTGCGGGCTAGGGGCAGGGCAGGGGCCGGCCCCGCGCGAGCGCAACCCCGGGGCGCTTCCCGCTCGCCAGCCTGGGAGGCGTGGATCCTGCACACAGCCTCCTGCCGGTGGACAGCCCCTCTGGCGACCAGGCCTTGGCTCCCACTGGGGCAGAGGTGGGATTCTGCAGGATCTGAGGAGCTAAGGGGACCCCTAGTCCTGAACTCGGGACCAGCTGCCTCTCTTATGGTCCTGAGCCCAGGAGCAAGACCCTGTGAGTCTCCGCACATGGGATGGGAAGGGGCCGCCCATGGGGTGTTCCTGGGCCTGGTGCCTCTCCGTTTAGGGGTGGGTGACCTTCCCGGCCCCGATAGATACTGTCTCGGTCTGCTGTTTGGCCCCGCGGAGGCCCCACAGGTCCGGAACCGTAGCGCCACCATCAGAGCGGCTGTGCTCTCCTGAGCGGGACCAGACTACTCCCAGATCTCGACTGACACCTTTTCCTGGGCCTCTGAGTGCTCCAGAGTTGGTGCCTGGCCACCCATCACCCTTTCCATCTGTCTCAGCTCCCCCTGTCTCAAGAGAGGTTGTGCGCATAAAAACAAACCAGCAGACACTGAAGAAAAGGAAAGAAAAGCATTAACAACCTTCTGCTGAAAATCTGACGGTGTAGATGCTGTTACAAAGTAGGCTTAGCGCTGATATATTATCACCAGCTCTAGGCCAGCAATAAGAAACCAGTAAGAACAAGGCCAGAAACCCAGTGGAAAAAAAATGAGTAAAGGATATGAATAAACAGTCCACATAAAAGGAAATGCCAAGTGGCTCCTGAATATGCGAAAAGATGCCCAGGGCGCAGTGGCTCATGCCTGTAATCCCAGCACTTTGGGAGGCCAAGGTGGAAGGATCGCTTGAGCCCAGGAGTTGGACACCAGTCTGGACAACATGGTGAGATCCTGTCTTTACCGAAAATTTTTAAAATTAGCTGGGCTTGGTGGGGCTACACCTGTAGCCCCAGCTATTCAGGAGGCTGAGGTTGGAAGATAGCTTGAGCCTGAGAGTTGGAGGCTGCAGTGAGCCGTGATTGTGCCACTGCACTCCACCCTGGGCAGCAGAGAAAGAAAAAGATGCTCAGACGAACTCACTATTTCCAATGTGAAAATTAAAGTTATTCTGAGACAAAAATTTTTACCCATAAATTTGGCAAAAATTTAAAAGTTTAATAACATAATCTGCTGGAGAGGCTGAGAGGAACAGGCACTCCACTGGGAGTGTAAAGTGGTGCAACCCCACGGCAGGGTCTGGCAAAGTTACAAATGCATTTTCCTTTCACCCAGCAATCTGCCCACCAGAAATTTATTCAACCAATATCCAAAGTATACATAGTTACATATTTCATTATGGTTTATAATAGCAAAGTATGAGAAATAACTCAAGGTGTCCATAAAAGGAGGCTTGATAAAGTAATGTGCATTCATTTGTTTTAATTTTAATTTTCCTTTTTTTTTTTTTTTTTTTTTAGAGACAGGGTCTCACTCTATCACCCAGGCTGGAGTGCAGTGGTGCCATCAAAGCTCACCTTAACCTTCAACTCCTGGGCTCCAGTGATCTCCCACCTCAGCTCCCAAAGCACTGGGATTACAGATGTGAGCCACCACACTCAGCCAAATTATGTACATTCATTTAACTGAATACAGTTCAACACTTTATGGAGTTCTCTGTGGATCATGGCAAGCTCTCCAAGAGGCAGTATGGCATAGTGGATAATAATCTAGACTTAGGAACACCTGCCTGGTTTTGGAATCCCAACCATGTCATTTACTGGCTGTGTGCCCTTGAGCAAGTTTTTTAACCCCTCTACTGCCTCCCTCTACTAACTACTGCCTCAATTTTTTAACAGTGAAAAAGAGCAAATAATAATACCTGTCTCATAAGGTTGTTATGAATAAGTAAGTTAACATTTGTAAAACACCCAGAACAGTGCCTGACCACCCATGCTAAGTAAAAAAATCAAGGTATGAAACAGTGTGTATTACTACCTCTTGTATGTAAATATATGTGTGTGTGTGTGTATGTATGTATTAACTAGTGTTTATACAAAGAACCTCTGGAAGAATACATAAAAACTAAAAAGCATAACTGGAATTTAGAGTAGAAAATAAGAGAAAGGGTTTTTGTTGTAAACCTTTTCATATTGTTGTGATTTTTTTTTTCCCCTAAGACAGAGTCTCGCTCTGTCGCCAGGCTGGAGTGCAGTGGCATCACTTTGGCTCACTGCAACCTCCGCCTCTTGGGTTCAAGCAGTTCTTCTGCCTCAGCCTCCTGAGTAGCTGGGACTACAGGCACGTGCCACCACGCCCAACTAATTTTTGTATTTTTAGTAGAGACGGGGTTTCACCATGTTGGCCACGATGGTCTTGATCTCGTGACCTTGTGATCTGCCCACCTCGGCCTCCCAAAGTGCTGGGATTACAGGCGTGAGCCACTGTGCCCGGCCTTGTTTTGATTTTTGAATCATACAAATAAAAACCTATTCAAAATACATTTTAAAAAGAAAGTTTTAGGGCTAGTCTGCCAGAACCTAAGTAATAATAGAAATAAATAGGCACTGCCTGAGACAGACTAAAAATGGAGACATTTCCCTTTGGAAGGACAAAGTTGATGGTATGTATAATCAAAGTCTACAAACCAATATGAGCAGGAATAAGTGGCTAGACCCTGCCATGGGGTTCCTCCTTCAAGAAAGAAATATGCACAGGGGTTTCATGCTCAATAAAATAACAATATTTATTTCTTTTTTAGAATTTTTAAAAATAACACTACTATGAAGAGCTCAAGATACATAAACTTTTAATTTATAACAACAAACCTTCTTAATATTTATAATTATTTTAAAGGAGGGGAGAGAGGGACTATGAGGTAGACAAAAACGTAAAAGGAGAAGAATGGAGGTGAAAGAACTGCGTCAGAGCGTGCAGGAGAGAATGAGTGAAATACATTCAACAGGCAAAGGGCCCATCAACCAATAACAGCAAAACCATCCAGCAATAGGAACAGAGAAGTTTTTGCCTTCTGATGGATCCATAACTCTGTCAGGTCTTATACTCTTCTAGAAGGCAGGACTGTTGGCTAAGGACTAAGCACTCCCAATTTTAAGCAGGCAAGCCTAAAAGAGGATGGCAGAACAGGGAAAGACACCTTGGAGCAGGGTCGAGTGGTATGGGAAAACACTGGAGTGCTGAAGGAAGACCTGAAGGGGGTCACAGAGGAGTAAGAGGATCAAAGGTGAGACAAGAACGTAAATGTTGTAGAATCAGAGCCTGAGAAGGAAACACCCAACGGTGCTAGTGGTAGTCGTGGGGCCTCTAGGCATGGAAATGGGAAGGTAGATGAGATGGACCATATGTTGGATTTGAGTATTAGAGACAAATGTTTCACTTCGATTTTCCAGAGAGAGTTGGGGCCAGGACTGGGGCAGGGAGGTGACATGTCACTGAGAAGGAGAAGCTGGCACTGCAGATCTGGACATGAGTAACAAGAGTGGAGCCAACAGGTCACCAGAGGGCATGGTGCCCAGGGAGTGGCCCAGGAGAAAGTGCCCATTTCTGTGATCTTTAGTTTGAGGACGAGATTCTCTTTCATTCCTGGAAGGAAATGTTCAAGGTTTCCTCACAAGGAGCCCTGGGACCATCCACAGCACTGGCATTTTCTGGGCAGCAAGGCTTCCTGGGGTTTACTCCTTGGGCTTTACCATGATGTGATTGCAGACATCTCATAGCTAGTTCCTCCGAAGAGACAAATGGCTCGTGAGCCTGCAGTTCTTCAACAAACCAGGTGTAGACCAACAGTGATGGGAGACGAAGAAGGGTGTTCTTCCCGTCTGTCCCAGTGGGATTCATGTTTCTCAGAGGGTAAAAAGAAAGCAGAACTTGACTTTTACTTTCCTTTTACAGCAAATGGTTGTTCCAGAAAAAATGCAACAACACCTGAACTCTTCTAAAGAAAAAGAAGACAAAACCATCTAGTGCATCTATGCCATCCTGTTGAAGATCCTATTTGAAAAAAAGAGAGAGAGAAAGGTTTTGTTTTTAATTGATAGAATAATCCAAAGTTAAAAATTCAACACAATGGAAAATAGTAATTCAATCCATGCTGCAAACAAGCTTCTTGGGTTGCTTTATGAATTGTATGAGCTGAAGGACAGCACCTTCCATATGGCCATATCCTCACATCGCCTTGGAAGTTTGCCTCTGGACATATTTTCCTATCTGACCATCTTTCCCATCTGGCTTCAAACTTCTGGGCTCAAGAGATTCTCCCACCTTGGCCTCCCCAGTATCTAGGACCACAGATGCATGCCATCACATCTGGCTAATTTTAAAAAATATTTTGTGCAGACAGGGTCTCACTATGTTGCCTAGGCTGGTCTCAACAAATTGGGGCTCATCAGCAAACTGGGACACTCTTTTCAGGGCTGATAACCTATTCCCCTGGCTTCCCAAAACACTTTCTTAGTCATCTCAAAGGGGTAAGCAAATTTGCCTTGAGGCTAGAAGAATGGAGAGAAGACTGGGCATGGTGGCTCCCGCCTGTAGTCCCAGCACTTTGGGAGGCCAAGGCAGGTGAATGGCTTGAGCTCAGGAGTTTGAGACCAACCTGGGCAACATGGCGAAACCTCATTTCTAGAAAAAATTAGCCAGGCATAGTGGCACACACCTGTAGTCCCAGCTACTCAGGAGGCTGAGTGGGGAGGATCACCTGTGCCTGGGAGGTCGAGGCTGCAGTGAGCTGTGATTGTGCCACAGCACTCCAGCCTGGGTAACAGAGGGAGATCATGTCTCAATAATAATAATAATAATAATAACCGTAATTAATGTCTAGGACTTAGATGGGCAAAGAGGTGAGGTGAATATTAAGTACTTTGGAGCAGAAAGTAACAACTGTTTATGTCAGAACATCAGAAAAAGACTGTGGGTCAGACACAAATGCTCCCCCTGCCTGCCCCCTGCAGTCTGTTCTCAGCACAGCTCCCTCTGTGGACTGTTGAAATGTGGTTCCTCAGCTCAGCGCCCTCCAATGGCGCCACCTCACTAGAAAAAAAGCCCTTGTAGTGACCTCAAGGCCCTACCTAATCTGCCCACCACCCACCCCTGACCATAGATAGATAGATAGATAGATAGATAGATAGATAGATAGATAATTTTTTTTTCAGATGGATTTTCGCTCTTGCAGCCCAGGCTGGAGT